AAAGTTTAACTTGACGATATACTGAAAATTATGCATAAATTTCACTAAGTATGTTTTTGACCATCTTTATGACACTCTCATTAGACTATCTTATCACCTTGAAGCCTGCCCATTCAAAGGAAAGGACAAAGAAGCTCAGAAAGTCTCAACCATCTGCAAATGCCCAGCACATTAAACTTCAAGGAATTCAACAAATCTCCAATGATCAAAAGGCTTGAAAATGACATAGCCACTCTCCTACAGAAGCTTTTATAAAAAGCCCCTAACAACTTATGTCAAAAATTCAAGGAAATGACATAAAAATCCTTTCCCTAAAAGTATTTTTTCACATAATTCAATCACTTGTGCATACAATATCTTCCTAGAGCTTCACTATTTTTTTCTTGCTTTTTCCTTCCATCCAAAATAAAAGCTACTAGTGACACCTAACAGGTATTTTGGGGTTCAGGTTTACCAAAGGCCCAATCTATGCAAGAAGAGTCTCAAACTTCTTTAAAAACATATTTTTGCACAGCTTAGAAAGTCTGACTAAAAGCCACAGTTCCATTTCTCAGAGCTAATTTATTTTCAGTATAATCCCACAGATAGCAGAGATTAAAAACGAATATTCAAAACCTGAGTTGTAATAACAGTGCCATGCACTTAGGGTTCATTTGGACGTAACATCATTACACACTCTTGTACTGAAAGTGCTAATGAGATTATATAAAGCAGGACACCCGGATAGCTTCAGGTTATTATTGCTCAAGCATTCAAAGTGAGGGGTTTTTTTTTGTTTTTGTTTTTTGGTTTATTTTGGTTTGGCTATTTTTTCAAGCATTATCATTCTACGCCTTACACATCACAGTGTTTTGTGTGCCAGGAATATGCTCCAGATACCTGACACAAGTATTTGAGTATCAGCATCACTAAGAAGCCATACAACACAGGCGATGGAACCCCAGCACTTGATCTGAAGTTCAGAATACGAAGGTTCATCCAAACCTAGGGACAAACGTTCTCTGGTATTGCAAATTATACAAGTCCCTAAATACAAAAGTTTCTAAAATCATTATCTTATTGTTAAAAAAGTAAAAGCAGGAACAATTGGGTATGTGCGTAAACCCTTTCAGCAGATAATCTCACAGTACTTGGGCCTCAGTGAAATTTGGAGTACTGCCACTAATGACTACCAGGGGTAAGACTTTTGAAAGTACCACTTCTTACCTCTTCATGACACATTTACCCAAGAAATTCCTGACTTAGCCCAAATCATGCTCTCCTGAAGAATCTACTCATTCCATAACTGAAGCTTTCTTTCAAATAGTACTGCATATATACTTTTACAGAAATGTTTCAGCTATGTTAATCAATTAATATTAGCTCCATGTCAATATTCTGCACATGACCAACAATAAAATTTTCGTGTGATGGGACAGATACTAATAAGAATTTTAAGACAGATGGATTATTCTGGGGAGTAACCATAAAAACAAAGCCAAACTTAAAATGAATGTGCTTAAAACTACCTAATACCTTTTTTCAAGATCAGTGAAAAATTTATGAGAATGGTAAACTAGTAATATCTGATCAGAAGAAAATTGACAGCAAATAATAATACAGTCGCTTGTCTTCATTGTCCCAATTAAATACAAAGCAAGAGTTAAAATCTGATGTGTAGCAATAAAGTTCTCTTCTAATGCACCCATTTCAATCTAAACTTTAAGTGGTAATAAAAACATTACACATTTCCAATGCTATGAAAATCACTTATGGTAACCATATCCAACATTTATTGTAACATGCCAAGCACTACTTTAAATGTTTCACGTATTTTTCATTTTATCCTCAGAACCCCGTAAGGTAGATATTATCCCCGTTTCACAGATGAGGTAACTAGGACACAGAATGATTAAGTAACTAGTACAAAGCCACACAGGAAATAATGTGTGGATACAAAAATTTCACCAACTAATCTAGCTCCAGATCATTACACTAAGCTGCCAAAAAGGTAATGTGGTAGATGTGCTTTGTAAACAGTACAATGTGCAAATGTAACGTGCACGGATTAAGAGCACATGCTTCGTAGTCAAGACCTAGTGTCAAGTCTCAATTCTGTTATTCCCTAGCTATGTGAACTTAAGTAAATCACTGAAATTCTACGTTGAAACTCAGAATTCTATAAAATGGAGATAATGAAGTAACAGTTCTTACTGGTGGATCTTATTGGTGGGTCTTCTTAGTCGATGAGGGGCATTATGCATGTAAAGGATAGCAGAGTACCTGGCATACAGTCAGCACTCCATGAATACTCATTATTATTATCTAATATGAAGAGTTCTGTTTATTATTACAAACTATCATCTTAGTACTGGCAGCATTTTCTAAAATAAGTAAAATCAATATTGAAATAATAAAAGTTTATGAAATGATGGGGCACCTGGGTGGCTCAGTCGGTTAAGCGTCCGACTTCAGCTCAGGTCATGATCGCACAGTCCATGAGTTCAAGCCCCACGTCAGGCTCTGTGCTGACAGCTCAGAGCCTGGAGCCTGCTTCAGATTCTCTGTCTCCCTCTTTGCCTGTCTGCCTGTCTCTCTCTCTCTCTCTCCGTCCCTCCCTCAAAAATAAACAAACATTAAAAGTTTATGAAATTAAAACCCGAAGTCTCAAAGTGTATGACAGCACAATTCTGAGATGGAAAAAGCTACCACTCACTTGAATATCAAGTTTTTATTCACAGTGCCTGCGTATACATGAAAATGTGCTAGGCACTAAACAAAATTATCAAGACATAGTCCCTGACTTCAAATATAAACAATCAAGCAAATTAACTCTACTGAGTGGGCACAAACAGTAAAACCTCCAACTTCACGCATTTTCCCAACCAGACACAACTATGGTCTTCATTAAGTTCACCTCTGCTTGGAGGTGCATGGTGGTGAATATATGCAGAAGAAGCAGTTTGAAAAGAAATAATAAGCCTGACAAATCAAATTTAGAATGACAAATATTCAGGAAGAAATGAGCTGACTTTCCACCCTCTTACCTTCTCAAAAAACATTTTTGCTATCTTGGTACTTGGTAGAGAAGCAAAAAAAAAAAAAAAAGCCAGAGATTCAGAAGAGAACTCAGAGTAAAATAGTACAGAAACAAATTCTAGGAGACAGGAGTGAATCTGAAAGTTAGAAAAGTCAAAATAATTGCAGGTGAGTTTAAGTGAAACATGTTTTATACTACGTTATATCATGTGCCTAATTCCTTAGAAACCAAACAACAGCCATTCTTAAGACTGCTGATCCTTACTTCTTTCTAATCCCTAGGTTTCTAAAGTTGAAGAAGAGGGAAAGAATAGCACAGAGTACAGAAGGATTTTGTATAATACAACAGCCAACATTTTGCTACACGTATCTTAGAGCTCGGCTTCAGATCAACTCTTAGAGTCACAGCTAAATCATAATCCTGGTAATCTATGGATTCCATTAAAAAAAGTAACTTCTAAAACTCCTAACTAAAGATCGAGAATACTTCCATTGGCCACTGTAGGAAACCTGGAGACCTAATTTCTAAAGTTTAAGAAGCATTTCTTTTTCAGAGGTCATGCTATTTGAAAACATCTTTTCCAACTTCACAATAGGAAATGATAGCCACTTGTGTCTATCTCAATACTTTCTTGCCATAACACCTATTGGTAAACTCAAGCCCTAGAAAGGCCACAAAATTCCCTGCTACTGCATCCATGGGCTCTTTCAAGCAAAATGAGTAGAACAGCCTATTGATCATAAAGCAATATAACACATACCCCTAAAAAAAGTGAAGTACTTTTCAATAATACAAGCCAAAACCTCAGCTCATATGTACAAAAGTAGGCCAAGAATTTATATATTCTACAAGAATAAAGAATATATATATTCTTCAAGAGGAGGCTTTCTTCCTGAAGTTGGGAGAAAAGAGGGGGAAACAGAGACATGAAAAAAAAAGTTATCATACATTCAAGGTATGTATCTCCATGTTCTAATAAACACCTGCCCAGTGTCAGCCATACCTCATCCAGCTCTCACTTGCACTACCCAAACTTATGAAGTTGAAATGCAAGCCATACTTTTCATTGTTTTTCCTCTTCCACCGCACTTACGACGTATGGAAGGTATCTCAGGAAACAAGGAGTTGAATTCTACAGGAAAACTCTTGATTGATCAAATAATAGCAAAGGTAGATATAATTGGTAGCCAAAGATAGGTTTTAATATAAAATAAGCAGTTTCTGATGGTTCTTTACCTACTTAACTACTCCTCCCCACAACAAAAAGTGCTACAAATACTTGCTTATATTTGCATGCAGAAAAACTTCTGCCACAAATTTCCTAGGACTCTTCTCCTTAAGAGTCTCAAGCCTCAGCCTCTGAGAAGACAGATCCTGAATCAAAATAAAACCAAAAAATAAAGATGAAGACCAGAAAGAAATAGGAAGAACAAAGAACATCTAATAACTTCTTACTTGTTCATTCCACCTCTCTAAACTTGTTTAGCCTCTAACTCCTCTCTGCCATGATCCATTGATTTGGCTACTATGATAAAATATTCCCAATCTGTCTAGGCAATTCTAATTTAGACAGACGCATCCTGACATAGTTCTATTTCTTCCTCTATGACCCAGATGAAACCTTTTGACAGTCCTTGGAACCCTCAATTCCTCCTCCTAAATTCCTGCTCTGTGGGCCTAGAGTTATGGGTGGAGACAAACTATGAATAGTATTGTGGAAATAGGGGAGTTGAAATAAAGGAATTCCAGTAATTGGGCTCCCCTCCATCAACATCAGGCTATTTTTCTTTACTCCCTACGGTATTTAACAAGTAAAGTAGAGAACAATAGGCTGACATATAGATGAGAGGCTGTAGCAAAGAACTACCCCCAAACTTTTTAGGAATACTCCTATCTTTCCACTGGTTGTAGGTACTTAAGTCTGGAATGTATCTTTGGAAGATGTCTTGTGTGTAAGAATGTATAAAAGATAACACCTTGCAAAAGTCAAACATACAGATTTAATAATGTGCAACTAATGAAGATGGTTTATAAATGAAATACCACCTACACATTTAGTTCCCTAAATATATTATGATATTAATCATTAAAGTTGGGTATATAAGTACAAGTTTTCCATATGTGGAAAAGTAAATGTTTTTAAATTAAAGAGAAATTATCACTCTAATCCTTAAAAATAAAACTATTAGGGTATAATTCAAGTGTAGCTGCTCATACTCACTGAATAAATTTAAATTTGATAAAACATTTAAGTTTCAACCAATGCACCTTTGTTGAAGCACATTTAGCTGAAATAATTTTGAGTCTGGTTTATTTCCATCACATATAGTACATTTTTCCAACAAGAGCATGTACATTCAATATAGAACATTTCCAGCAACAGTTACAGTCTTTCTAGTTTCCTTTCACAGTATATTTTAGTGCAAAGCACTGGGAAGGGTAAATGTTTTTCTAGCTATAGAAGCATTTTATTATGACCTTGTGGATCTTCAACACTTTAAAATTTTTACAAGAAGTATATAGATGGACAGGGTCCCTCCTAAGTACAGGTATGAACCTATATAAAAACATGGTATGTTCTCTGCTGTACCTTTTAAAATTATAATTTGACAAAAATTACTAAAAAATAAAATACTCCCTAAAAAGTACAAAATATTGATACACAAAAACCTGCCCAATATTTCATAAAGATAGATGTACTTCTGTTTTCCTAAAATCTTGATTACAAAAATGGACAAGAATTCATTATTTTCCAAATTTTACAGTAGGAATCAAATATCATCTAAAGTAGTCATTTAAGATTTTACTTGGGAGAAAAAACTTCAGGGTTTATACTCCCATCTTCCTTTTTTAGCAATATTTAAAGAATTAAACTAATATCATAAGAAGTGGTTGTGCATGGATTGTCTGCATCCATAAAATATCAGTAAGCTATTTACTACCTTCATACTAACATTAGTAAATGTGTGGTCTTTAAAAAAAAATATACAGAAACTGAAAAATTAAGTTGCATCTATTATTAAAGTGCTTTGTATAAAATTTAAAGAAAAAAAGGGGAATGTTTAATTTTCATAAAAACCTCAGATGTTGACAAATAAAAATAATGATCCATGGACGAAAATGAACTGGAACTTTCTGCTGAATATATTTTAGAATGAAACTTTCAAACATTTAAGTGCTGGAGAACAAGTTAGAAATAAATGAATGTAAAAATAATTACAAATACTTAGTAGGCTAAATATTTATAATATGTTGATACTAATTTCTCTTTTGGTCCTAACATACACTCACTAGGAAATAGATCTGTACAATTCAGATGAAAATTTTGCCAAATAAAGTGAAACAAAACTAAAGTCACTAAGATATAAAGTCTCTGTCAATTAAAAATCACCAGTGGTGATATATTCTTCAGGTTGTTGATCGCTTTAATCAACAAATTGTTTGGAAAACAAAATTTGCAACATTTTTGTAGGAACTGCAGACCAAATGCACAAGGTCAAGGGTGGTTAGCTGATGGACTGTGATGACAATATGTAATGTCACAGCTACTTGAAAGTGCTGGAAGAGGCAGTGCCTTAGAAACAAGTGGTTAGATGGTTATTATTTTAGTCAGAAAACAGCAGTTACAGTCGAATATTTATGAAAATGTTTTTCCTTTTTTTCTCATAGTACCATTTGAAGACGTTTAGTGGTTCTAACACCAATTTAAAGTCTTTCCACAAAAATGAACTCCAAACCTTTTCGTACATCACTTGAAGTTATCTGAGGAGAAATGGGAATAAATGAACACTTTTGAGTTTACCAATAAAACCTTGTTTTAAAAATTATACAACAGTAAATCACTTCTAAAGGATGGTTTCACCTCAAGTTTCCACACAAATAAAAACATGTGTGATACTCAAATCACAACATTTAACCTACTCAGTACTCAAACTAAGTATACTGCCTAGAACCTGAATCCCAAACTAATTTAATACTAATTAAATACATTAAATGCCTTAATACAGGGGACACAGGTACTGAAGGTAAACTTTTAAAAATATAGATAGACTTGCAAAACCAAGTAGAGGGAGTCTACTCCTTATTTCATATTGCATTTTAAAAATCTATATTTATTCCAAAACGTTCTAAAAAAGTAAATTTTTTTCTTTTTTCCCAATAGGGATTTTCCTTTTCTTGCAACGCACAACCACAAAAAAAGATTAAAAAAAAAAAAAAAAAACCTACTTAATAATATTAACTATGTTGAAATGATCACAAAAAGTCTGTTTAAACAAAAAGGGAAAAGTAAGATTTTGAACCTAAATAATCACTTTTTCCGCAGATCAAAACTAAAAACAGTAACTAACACACACTCCTAAGGAGAAGGGAAAAAAAAATCCAAACTTTTGTTTATCAAGTTCCCCCCTTTGACTGGAAGCACTATGTTAAACATAAATAATAAATGCTAATTGTTCTAAATTCAATTTGGGGATTTTCTTTTTCTTAGTGCAGCACTTTATTTAGCCGTCACAGATTAATTTTTACAACAATTACAGTGCCTCAAAAGACTTTTTTCCTATAATTATCGCCTTCACAAATTCATTCTAATATATTTAACTTTTCCTACAATGTATTCATTAGTAGACTAAGTCACTAATCAAATTAAATCTGTGCAAAGTTAGTTAAACAGAAGACTTCTATTGTAAACATAAGCCAATATAAACGTATATATTTTACAACATTGAGAGGAAAGCACTGACCCTGTGCCATCTACCTAGAACTATAATGCATTGTCCTGTGGAAGATAAGTTCTGAAGTTAACTTTTGTTCCCAAGCCACTGGAATAAAGGTCACTGAAGAGGTAAATGCAATATGCACATTACTCTTGCAGTTCCCAATGCCATAAGATATATGGAAGCAAACATGTATTAAAATGGAACCAGCTATAAATTATGGTCAAATGATTTTTTTTAGTTCGATGGGGGGAAAAAAGCAAAACTCTGTAACTGTTCCTCACCAGACAAGAGCCTTAGATCTTGTACTTCGGCCTTTGGTTTTGTTTCCTTCAGGTGAATTGGAAGCATTTGCCTTATGAGTTTTCTTATGATGTTCAAGATAAGTCTTTTTGGCAAATGCCTTTCCACATTTATTGCATCTGTGAAGAGAAAAGTTTTTTGTGACTTTTACTTCAATACCAACGTCAGCTACTTCGTACTTTTTACTAGGAGAGTTAGAAGTGCCATCATGTTTTGAATCACTATGTTTTGCCTCATCCCTCGAAGGGCCTCTTTTTGCCACTTTATTTAGAACAAAATCAATGGGCTTCTTTATAGCTCTGATCTCTAAACTGGCTGTTATTTTCCCAAGATAGCGGGATGACTTTTTATGAACCACAGTTATATGTCGTATCACATCGCGCTTCCGACGAGTTTCATAAGTGCAAAGAGGACACTTGTAGAATTTAACATAAATGTTATTCCCATCTGTGTGCAACTCAATGTGTTTAGTCAAGTTCTGTTTGGAAGTAAACTGACGTTTACAAAGTTTACAGTAAAGTTGCTTAAAGTCAAAGCCAGCTGAAAGTTTTGGTTTCCTGGTTTTCTGCTGGCCACCTGCAGCAGACGGACTAGTTGATTTAGGGCTTTCAGAGTCTTGTTTAACTTTATTTTTCTGTGCTGCCGGTGTGTTCTTTTTTTCATTTGAATGATTTGTTCCCTTTAATTCATTCTGTGGAGAATGGGTAATGGAAGGGGGTGAAGATTCTACAGAATCTGCTGGTTCAACTTTAACTTTTATTTCTGAACTGCTGGCAGTATTATTAGGGCCTTTCTCTCTTTTAGAGTTTGTTCCAGAAAGAGTTATCTTGTGGACAATTTGCATATGTCTTTTAAGCATTATTTGTGAACTATATTTCCTCTTGCAAAGGAGGCATTTGCATGCAGTTAAATTGTATTCAGCCTTTGAAGACGACTTTTGTTTTCGAGTCTTAAAAGATTTTTTAGGAGAAACAGAATCCAGGAACAAAGGTTGCCCAGGCTTTGTTGCTATATCAGGAGTAATTGAATCCCTCCTTAGTCCTCTATGAACTTCATCAAAATGCCTCCTTACATTCGCTTTTGTAGCAAATGATTTACAACATACTGGACAACTCCTACTTAATGGAACTAGAACATTCTTACTGCGTCCTTTAGAGGACTGGTTTGGATTCTTTCGTGTTTCAATGTACTTTTTTAGTTCTTCCATCTTTTTCTTGTGTACTTTTCGAATGTGACGACGAACGCCTCGTCTGGAATTGAATTCTTTTCTACAGAGACAACATATCAACTGGTGACCAAAATCAGAATTGTCAGAAGTTTCCAAGTCAGCCTGTGATTCCTGAGGTTGCTCATCAGATGTAGGTGCAACTTCATCTGCAACAACCTCAACAGGAGGGGGCTCTGCAGTTTCCACCTCTGTATCTATAACTGGTACTGTTTTAGACTGTTCAGTGCTAGTTTCCTGTATTTGAACTTCGGTTTGTTCAGGAGTACTGCTTGACTCTGTGACTTCAGTAGGATTATCAGTCCTTGAAATATACTGAAACACTGCATTTTGATTAGTTTCTATGGGTTCTAGCTTAATAATATATTCTCGCTTGTCCACACTTGGATATATGGCTTCTAGGAGATCATTTATGGCTTGACTTTGTTTATCATTTACATCAGGAAGGTCTGTTAAGAAAAAAAACAACATTTTAATCTGAAATAATTAGCCTGCTCTAGCTCTCTAATATTTAAAGTTGTATTATGAACTTCTACCTTAAAATTTATTACATTACTGGTTTGTATTTTTTTATAAGAGCATTATCTACTTTTCTGTATTTTATAATTTATACATTTAATGTAGTTTTACAAAAATTAGTATTAATTAAACTAAAATTAATTTAAAATCTCATCATGGCACACAAATGTTAAGGAATAAATGCAATCTGAAGAGCTACTTCCACTTCTAAGTGCCCTTAATACAAATACACGAGTGTCCTAAACAATAAAAACAGTATTTCAAATTTTTAGTCTAAAATTTTTAGGCTCGCAAAGGCACATCAAAGTTCTTACAACCCAAGATGGATAAAACATCATGAAGAATGTACTATTCTATATAAAAGTGATTCTTTTTTTAGGAAACATAACAGCAGTCCTATTAACTTAATCCATAATAAACAGTCTACTTGTATAGACATCTGATAGAATTGGAAAAGAAAAATCTGTAGGATATAAATATGAATGACATGTATAGAAGTGCTAAACTCAGTCCTATTCAATGTTTTCTTAACATGACACAATACCATTAAAGCAAGTGATTAAAAACTATAGATTTTTACTCAAAAAACAGAGGTAGTTTTATTTGTACAATAATTACATCCCTTATGGGAAACCAAATATTCCTATTATATATCCCAGAACTATCTAACACTAGTTATGTTTCCACACACAACTCTAAAATCTGGCCACAAATACAGCATCAAATCTGGCTATCCATTTAGAAATCAAGAAATGATTCACTATTGCTCTTCTAGTGATCTTCCTAATTAAAATGGGTAAAGGAGTGTCTACAGGAAGGATAACACTTTCACAGAAGTATTTCTAGAGTGAGTATTGCCAAGAGAAGTATACAATAATCCAACAAATCCATTTATCTATATGCCTAAAAGTCAACTCTACACTAAAAAATTGCAAAGAATAACTATCAGAAATAACTAATTTTCTACTAGTACTTCAATTATTAAAAGGTCAGGTTTAAAACTTATCCCCATAGACTGCCTTTTCATTTATATCTCAATGATTAAAAACAAGTATAGCAAGATATAACAGTGGTAAGAAAAATTTCCAAATAGAGGAATTTTTGTTTCAATTATGTGCTATAATATACTTTATATCAGCTTCACACTAGTAATTAAAGTGGTACTTTAGATATCTGGAGTTTTCATTTCATTCCCATCCCAAAAAAGTTAAATTGAAAAGTACACAAAATCTATAATGCAACTATAGTATCAAACCGAGAAAACAAATTCTGTAAATTTGTAAGTCCGCAAAGAGTTAAACCCCTGAACAAGACATAATGAATGTAACCTATTACTTAATAAAATATTTTAAGGAACTTGTACCGGTTCTTTATAGCAAGAAAATAATACATTATGTATACTGCGTACTTAATCGTACATGGTCGGTATACTTAATCCAACAAACATGTGGCTCCACAAAGACATTATTAGCCTCAACCTGCCTCTGTCACATAAAGCTATTTCAGATCTCAAGCTAGCCTATAAGACAATCTAATTTCTGATAAAATGACTAATCTATAAATAAATTTAACTGAGAACAAAACTAATCTTCAAATCAAGACCCAGAAAAAAATGGAAAGATTAATATTTTTTTTTTGTTTTTTTTTTTTCAACGTTTATTTATTTTTGAGACAGAGAGAGATAGGGGCAGAGAGAGAGGGAGACACAGAATCGGAAACAGGCTCCAGGCTCTGAGCCATCAGCCCAGAGCCTGACGTGGGGCTCGAACTCACGGACCGTGAGATCGTGACCTGGCTGAAGTCGGACGCTTAACCGACTGCGCCACCCAGGCGCCCCTAGATTAATATTTTTTAATGCTCTTCACCATCCCCAAGAAATCAACTCATTTACTCATTCTTTGCCCTATTTCTAGCCTCATTTACTTAACAGTAATCTTAGTAAATTAACAGTCATATGTAAAAAGTTGTTAAAGAAGTGAAAATGAAAAATATCAATAGTCCCTTCAAGCACTCATATTTTAACTTAGAAAAATCCTGAATATATACTATTCTGGTCTACATAAACATTCAAAAACAATACCCAGTATTTTAATACAAATAAATATACTCATAAATCGAGCCTCCTATATCTTTAGAAAAACCGAAGCAAAAAGCGCTCATATGAAAGTACCTATCTAAGAAAATGAATAAAACATTAAGTCGAGTGTTTAACTTTATTCTCCATCATTAAATTATCAATACCATTTTAACACAAACATACAGCTACAGTATATGAATACTTAACTAACTATAAAATGCATAACTGAATATATGAATAAAACTTACTGTCATCCATCTGGAGACTTGGTGGGCAGTAGAATTTTTTATGGGTAATTAAATTTGGTAATCCTCTGAAGAGACTGCGGCATAATTTGCATTCAAAAATAGTGTCCACGTCTTTTAATAAAATATGCTTAAGTTGTTTAGTTCCTGAAGGAAAAAAAAAAAAGAAAACACAAAAGATAACTTTAACATGCACTTTTAACTGGGCAACCACTGTTGACAATCCAAAGTGCAATTACTCTTTGAAAATAAAATACAGACATTGCCAACTTCTACCATGATGTATTCGGAACTAAGTTATAAACTAAATTTTAAGTAAAATCGCATCATCATTTGAATATTATGACAGCTAAAACTGATATTCTTTTTCTAATTCAGCAGCCAATCAATTCTTAGGATATCCCAACAGTCACTCCAACATCTGGTTGATCATCACAATGACCTGGGAATAAAGATGTACATGACCCACCTCCAGAGATTCTGATTCAAAATAGATCTGGAACGGGAAAGAAGAATTAAACATGCCCCTTCCTCCCCTACCCCCTTTACTCCCTCCCAAAGTATCTGGCTGGTTCCTACAGCTCTCTTCTGCAGTGAAATGAAGATGGAGTTCTGTAACACATTTTCCCCTGCTTCCTTAAAGAAAGTCAGAACTGTGTCCCAAGACTGCCTGTGACTTTTTTAAAACTCAACTTACTTCAGGTTCTAGGCCAATATGGAATTCTGGCCATTGAGGGTGAGAGTACAGAATCCTTATCCATAACATGAATTTTGCTTAGGCCTCTTGAGACCACTATACATTTATTCAAATTCTTTCTCCCTCAAAAACTCACTTCAAGTACAATTAATTAAATACTGATAGTTCTACACTTTAAACTAACTTAAAGCGTGTCTTCCCCACTAGATTATAAACACCAAAGCAGCCAAAACCAAACCTGTCTTATTTACAACTAAAGTGTTCGGCTCTCACAACGCTCAATAAAGATAAGTTGAAGAAATGCCACAGATCTAGGGAATCTAAGCATTATGACAGAAGGTCAAAAGGCAAGAAAAAAAAATAAATGGCAACAAGCATCTAATCTTTAAAGTAAAAATATCTGCCAGGAATAAAACACAAACAGATCTTTTGTCATTATTTCCTACAAGGTTTTGCCACAGGTAAATTGACAAAACTGATCTGCAGTGCTTTACTAATTTCCTCAAATAAAAAAGATGATGATGATATTGACTTAAACTAAAGAGGAAAAAACAAAAGTGTCTTGAAAAACAACTTTAAGGAGCGCCTGAGTGGCTCAGTCGGTTAAGCGTCCGACTTCGGCTCAGGTCACGATCTCGCGGTCCGTGAGTTCGAGCCCGGCGTCGGGCTCTGGGCTGATGGCTCAGAGCCTGGAGCCTGCTTCCGATTCTGTGTCTCCCCCTCTCTGCCCCTCCCCCGTTCATGCTCTGTCTCTCTCTGTCTCAAAAATAAATAAACGTTATAAAAAAAAATAAAAATTAAAAAAAAAAAAGAAAAACAACTTTAAGACTATCTAGGTGCAAAGTGTTCTATCACTCAGCAAGCACTTGACACTCTGTTAAGCTCTGGGACTACTAAAGAGCAAACACACTTTACTATCCACCTTGTAAAATGAACAAACCAAACCAAACGTATTTTACAGAATCATGAAAGAAAACATGAACCTAAATCCCAGAAAAATTAAATTACACATCTGGGTTTCTACTGGAAAAAATATACATATATAATGAAATTATTTCCACCATTTCTCAAATTCAAATCAATGTTTACTGCACTAAACCATATTACCACAAAATCAGAAAACACAAATTTAAAAAGATTCAGAGGACAGCTTGAGTATATTCTTTATATAAAAGTAAACACACACACACACACACACACACACACACACACACTTTATTCCACTTCACATTACAAAATATATTGACAATAGACTGCTAACATATTTAGTTCATAATCTCCTAAGTGACAAACTATGAGAGGTAGACTAATGATAAAAATATTTTAGATAAACCTCTCTACTTGATCTACCTATAATTCCCAAGTACGGTTAAGTGTAGTAAAGTAAAAAGAAAACATAGAAAGTTTTTGCACACTTCAATTCTAAATTAATTACCTGCTAGACCCATACTAAAGATTCAATTCTGCCTTTAAAGATAGTCAAAAAAGATTGAAGAGCAATGCAAAAATAACCTGAACTAGGTTTAACGTTAAGAATTCAGTTGAAGATTTAAATAGAAAGTATGAGGTTATACATAAAAAAGTTACTGCTAAAAATATAAGACTGCATCCTTAAATCAGAGCTCTCACTTTGTCTGTAAGATTCTCTCAACCATAAAAAAGTCTATATCTATGTATAGATTCTTATTTAGTCCTAGTTATAGAGCTAGTTATATTCAGTAGAGTGTATATCTGCTCCCAATAAACATCCCCCTAAAACAAGTCTCTAGCTCTAACCTGAACCAATCAATCTTAATACTCATTCACAAATGCTCCCCCCACCCCACCCCACCCTACCTACACACATACATGCACACACACATCAACATGCACATGCACAGACACAAACATGTCGTGTTGATCCAGGTACATCAAATTTCTTTCAGAGCCACAGGTTCACCAATTTCTCGCTCTCTCACTTTTCAGGCCTTCACCTAGGTTTTTCTCTCTGCCTATAACAATCTTCCATTTCCCTGGTCTGGCTCACTTCCAGCAATCCTTCAAATTACAAGTTAGTTGTTTCCTCCAGGAAGCCTTCTGATCGCTCCCGTTTTTTTAAGAATTCTTCACCCCTACTCCCATAGCACACTGTACATCTATACTATATTATTCCACTATCTTGTAATTATTTTTCTGTACTCCCATTGAAGTGGAAGCTCAAAGAGGAAAGAGAAGGTATCTTTATTCTTCCCACTGTATTCCCAGCCCTCAGAATCATGCCTGACTGATGTTTGTCAAATGACATATTGGAGAACTCTATGTTAAAGAAAACCTTCTCTATAAATTAAACTTTCTTTTAGCCTATTGTAAAGTTGACTGGGAAGTCAAGAGACTTCAAAGATTTTTTTTTTTTAATGTTTCATTTTATTTTTTGAGAGACAGAGCATGAGCAGGGGAGGGGCAAAGAGAGAGGCAGACAAGGAATCCAAAGCAGGCCCCAGGCTCTGAGCTGTAGGCACAGAACCCGTAGGACTTGAACTTCACCATGAACGTGAGGTCATGACCTGAGCCAAAGTCAGACGCTCAACTGACTGAGCCACCCAGGCACCCCTAGACCTCAAAGAGTTTCTAATTCAACTTCTACATTTTACAAATGAGAAAAATAAGAGGTCATCCATTCCATAAATACAGACAACAGAAGTTTTTCCCTAAGTTAGCAGTTGCCATTTAAGGTTTTGTTGTTTTTCCCATGCGGTCATAATGGTCTAATCAGCTACTATTTTCTTATTGCTTTGCTCACTAACAATTAGGCACAGGCAATCAACTCTGCCTCTGTCAATAGCTAAAACTTTCTACCACCTGAGACAACAACAGACATGGTCATCTAAATAGCAACATAAAGTTCTTCCACAGCTCTTGATTCAGAAAGAGCCAGGGTATCTTACTCCTAATTATTCCTTTTCCGATATTAATAACTTTTTCTTGCCTCAGGTTTTAAAACTATCTTAGGATGCACTATTTACTGCTTACATAGATCATTAATCAGTATCCTTCCAAAAAACCAGCCCTCCAAAGGGTAAGTTTTTGATGCCTAGAAATTAGCTAATTAGTGAATATTTCAGATTCTCATAATAGGTGCTCATAAAAATTACTTAAAACTTATCAAGGATTTAGTCATGTGCTATTCCTTAATGTCAAATATTCTGTATGTACTGAGAAAAATGTTTACAAGATTTTTTTCAAAAGAAATCAGTATTCAGTTTTACAGTAGAGTAGATTGCACTTACCTTACATGATGTGATATTAATTATAACTCTTCTGTGCTAGAAAGATAAGCTTTCATTTTTTTGTTAATATATGAATATGTTGGTCAATGACCATTTTAAATTGTGGCAATAATGGATTTTTAAATGTTTATGTATTTATTTTGTGAGAGAGAGCATGTGTGCATATGCACGCACGTGGAGGAGGAGCAGATAGAGAGAGAGGGAGACAGAGAGAATCCCAAGCAGGCTGGGCACTGTCAGCGCAGAGCCTGATGCAGGGCACAATCTGTGAGATCATGAGCTGAGCCAAAATCAAGAGCTGGACACTCAACCAACTGAGACACCAGGCGTCCCTAAATTGTAGCAATAATTATTTTTAAGTGGTATACTGTTTGCTTTATTGATGATTCACACATGAGCTCAATCTTTTTTAGCATGACTGTTTAAACACAGTATCATCTCAACACTGCAAGCAAACCCATAATTTGTGTCAAAACTGATTTTCAAGGCCAGTATACAAAGGAAATTTCTAGCTGATCTTCTCTTAACAAAAGTTCTCGAAGGTAAAAAACAGGGAAAACTTAAGAAAATTTTAATTATTATCTTAAAACCAGCTGGTTAAAAAAAAATTACTAGGTTAATTATGGAACACTGCCACACACTACAGTAAATTCATAAGTAGAATAAAATTATTCCAGGGCCTACTTGGTGAATCTTTTAGTTTAACAAACATTTACTGAACACCTATTAAATATTAGGTCACAATGCTATTCACTGGAAACACAGAAGTGAAGGATCTGATCTGTGCCCTTAAGAAATTTCCAAACTAATATAAATGACTGCTCTCCTAGGAACACAGCCCCAGATGATATGCTTTGAAGAAGAACGTAAGAACAACAAATCAAACAAATAAATCTACACCTTTCTTATTCATCCAAAAAAATATCTAGTCTGATTTTAAATTTCCTACAGTTGTATGTAACAACCAAAAAACAAAAACAAAATCCATGGCACTCTCTTATGTATCTATGATAAATCATACTTCCAAGCTAAGTTTTTGTTTGCAGAGTCAGGACTGAGGGAGGCATCACCATCCAGTCACAGCTTACACTAAATACAAGTAATGTTACTTTAAATAGTACAAAAACAAAACAAAACAAAACAAACTCTTCTAAGAAGTTAAATGACCAAACCTAAACTTAAGATAATGGCAATAGCAAATATCACAAAAGCTAATTCTCATTTTTCACAATTTACTCCTCCCTAAGATTCAGAAAAGATGCCCTTCCTTGCACAGTACTGTATTCTATAGGCAGAATCTTTTTTCTACGATATTATATATTACCTCTTTTTTCAATATTATATATTACAAGGATTCAAAAAAAGGTATCAACTTCATATTAAAGACCAGTTTTGAATACCAAACTAAATAATTATCATTCTCTTTTCTCTCCATTTTTCTGTTTCTACCCTTAGGATATTCAATGGCTCCTTTGCCTCTAGCAGAAGGCTGAGAAACTAAAAAAGACTATTAAGCTCAATCAAATCAATTTTAATAAACGTCTCATGCAAGTACATCTTTTTGTTGTTGTTGTTGTTGCTGTTACTTAAAATTCTGCTTCAGTTTGGGGAGAGAGATCAGGAAGGAAGGAAGCTAAAAGTGTTAATAGAAAGGAGGAAATTTGAGGATGCCAAGTCACACGGACTGATCCTAGAAGAACCAACACAGCTAAGGCAGCACTCAGGCAAAAGGCAGGGCCCAGTCAAGGCAGTACCAGAAGCCAAGGATTCAGAGCAAACAGTATGTCTCAAAGTCACCCAACCATTAGGGATTTCAGAGTAGAAAATCTATAGTATGGAGCAAATAGGCAGCCTAAAATAATAAGGCATCTCTCTACGAACAGATGTCAAACAACAGTGAAATGTACTGTTAAAGCAAAAATACATAACAGGGCGCAGAGTCAGCTATTACTCATACCGGGGGGTGGGGAAAATGAGGGCTATATGTATAGATAGACAGCCTTGGAAGAAAACACACAAACCCTGTAGCAATGGTTGCCTGAGCAAAGAGACTCATTTTTATATTTTTTATATCCTTTTGTACTTCATTATTTTTTTAAACCACAGGCATTTATGACTTAATCCAGTAACATTATTTATTCCAATATAGGAATATTACTTAATTCCAAAAAAAAAAAAATCTACTCAAATTAATTTACAAGTGAAGCAGCCAGAAATAAAGAGATATTAGAGGTCAAGAAGGATAACTTAAAGCCAGCAAAACAGACCAAAGCAAAAACTGAAGTGTGAGGCAAAGAGAACAAGTCAAACCTGATCAAGCAGTCAGTATAGCACACAGGGGGCTGTGGACTTGAAAAATGAGAGAACTCCTTCCTCAGCCTTTTATGAACTTCCAGCTTGGGTAGGAATTCATATCAGATCATAGACAGTCCAGTGTAGGCTGAAGAAGGTGAGTCACTTAGAGATGATACAATAGCTGAAGACAACTAACTGAGCTTAAAGATTAAGCTAGATATCCTAAGACATTACTAATACCCAACCTGATTTAGTTTCTATAGGTTAACAAGAGCAAAAGCATGGACTTCAGATGGTTCTTTAAATGCAATGTGTGTGACCCAGCTGTAAAGGAAAGAGCCTAGAAAGAAATGAGTCACTGAAGGTGTGGTTGGGAGTAGAATGGAACCAGGAGGAACTTACAGGATGAGAATGGATCTTGGTCCCTAAGTCATGCGGGCCGAGCTTCCATTCTATCCACCCCAAGTTTCAGTCAGCCAGGACCTGGATACTTCAGTGCTAAAGAGCTATCTTAGTAGATTTTAGATTACACAGATATGTGAGAGATTACGATCCTGAGGAAATTAAAATTGCTTAGTACTGAGACGCATTAACGAAGTAAAAAAAAAAAATCTTTTTTTAAATACAGAGTTAGTTTCTTCGCATCGCTAAGCATATTTCTAAATCACTTCTAATTTAAATTAGCGGGTACCTTAAATTTATAGTACTTTCAAAATTTGCCTAAATAAAACATAACTCAGAAGGCAAATCTGCTGGGGACATTTAAAAAAAACATTTTACCCATTTCATGGACCCTTTTCTTTAGCTCTGATTGTAAAGAAATAGCAAACACAGAAAACAGATATGACCACAGTGCAAAAGAAAACAATTTCATTTTTAAATATTTACCTTCCACAGTTAAACACAGATTCTAAACAGGATCTTCTTGGAAAGGGATATTTTACAAGACAAAGCATTTATGAATGAACCAATTCTTACTTAATCAAATAAGACTATAATAAATTGAAGTAGTATAAAATAACCTTATTAATTTCAAATTCTGGATTTTTAAGTTTTATTCAAATTTTATTTACCTAACATAGAGTGCAATATTGGTTTCAGGAGTAGAATTCAGTGATTCATCACTTGAATTCAATACCCAGCACTCATCACAACAAGTGCCCTCCTTAGTACCCATCACCCATCTAGCCAACCTCCTACTCACCTCCTTTCATCGACCCTCAGTTTGTTCTCTACCATTAAGAACCTCTTGTGGTTTGTTTCCCTCTCTTCTCTTCCCCGGCCCCCCACAGTTCATCTGTTTTGTTTCTTTAATTCCACATATTAGTGAAATCATATGGGATTTGTCTTTCTCTGTAAATTCTGGATTTTAAAAACCTAAAGCAAAGAATGTAACTAAATGTGACAAGCTATTATCTTCATTTCCAGGAGAAAGTGCAAAAGAATTATTTCTCTATTAAAAGTAGCTAACAAAAAACTCTTATACTACAAAAACTAACCATTCTCCTGTTACGCCAGAAATATATTATAAATACGGCTCCTAATAAGTAAAATTGTAGTTGTCTTTACTAAAGGAAAATCTGACTCATCAGTTACTTCTGTTAATGAAGGGCAACTATCAAAAGTAAAAAAAAACAAAAAACATCTTTAAGTAGGTTTACCACCATCCAACATGAGCAAGGCATGTGTATACACTCAATACTTAACTAAATTAAATATAAATAAAAGCAATGCCATGAGGACTATAGATGAAAAGTCCAAGAAATAGATATTATAAAGTCAGAAAACCTTTTTTATTTTAGATTAAGGAAGAATCTATTTCTTAGATCCTAAAATAAAACAAATAGATGCCACTTCTCTTTACAATGACTTAAAAGCAAGCACCTCAAAGAATTTATTAATACAAAACAAGTTATTACATATAAATATCTTTTCCTTTGAATCTTAGAAATTTTTCATTAAAATAGTAAGCTTTAGAATAACAAAAGATATTCTAATCTTCTAAGTTTCCATCAGTTAGGTGTCCCATCAATCATGTGTGTCTGCTTATTTATATCTAACTCAACAGTCTACGACGACGTCAAAGAAGCCAAATCTACAAAAGGTGGATAAGTGGATTATAAGAATCAGAGCAACCTAAGATCTTACTGATAACACAGTTCTGACAGTTCTCAATTATGTATATGTAGTAAACAACAACTATCTTAAAGCATTGGATTGCACCTGCACAAGCACCCTTATTATACATGCAATTACTATAATAATCTAATAGAAAGAAAAGCTAAACACTTGCATCCGAAGATCCCAGGGCTGGAGTAAGTATTTTTCCTATCTTGTGCTCTATTTAAGATATTGAAACTCCAGGGTTAGGCCAAAGAAGGGGAGTCACATAAAGAGTGATGATAAAGTAATTAATCTACGATAAGTGACATCTCAGACACTGTGAATAAACAGTCTACTCTGCCAATGCTTTTAAAGACCCAGTAGAATTCACCTTTGAGAGTTTATAAAGAATATGCCAAAAAATAAATCATTAAGAGGCACTTTACCAATAAAAATACCACATATATTTCTTTATAATAAACAAGCTTATTTCCATATTAATATATAATACATAGTACTGAAAAAGAATCTAGATCAAGTCAATATTCATCCACTTTTTTAAAATATGGCAATGAAAAGTATTCTATAAAACCAATGTATACATTTTAATATTTAAAAAAAAATTAATTCTAAGGATTTCTAGGTAGTTTTTAACTACGATGTGAAGGTTGAAAAATACATCCTAAAACATTCATACCTGATCGAAAGCACTCAATTATTTGCTGAATACCAGATTTGGATGTCTGTAGTGGTTGCTGTAACAAAGGAGCATCTCCAGGTTCCAGGATATAAACTACATGGAAGACAAACACCCACCCCAATCCCCACAAAAAAAGGGTTATTTAAATCATTTACTATTAAAGTAAAACAATGGTTTGCTACAATCATGTTAACGATAATCACACTTGTTTGTATATATTTCACCAGCATCTTTGTAAGGCAAAATGAAATAATGCGAAAAAATAAAGTTACCCTCAATTCAAGGCTAAATTAAAGCTACGTAAGGCTTCAAACACAAAGATTTACTATTTTGGTATTACTTAGTACCTATTTGTCATGTCTGCCTTTTTATTCCCCTTGAAGAACTACTGTATTTAACCAAAATTCTAGGGCAATCATGGCCTAGCCACATCTCATAAACCATTCCAAAACCCTCTGGACAATCTAGTACAAATGTACAGGCAATACTCAAAAACCACTGCCTAAGGAAAGAACTAGTGAAGTGCACAATGATAGATGTTCAAAAATGTTCACTGCAGCACTCTGTAGCGCTGTAAATAATTCAGAAAAAAATTCAAATTTAAAAATCTCTCAACAGGAACCAGACTAAATAAACTATGAAATATCCCTACAATGGAATCCTTCATGGCTGTTAGAAAGCATGAGCTAGATCTACATATACTAACAACAAAGAACGTCAGTAATAGATTAACCAACAAAAACAGGTTGTGGAATATGATCTCACTCATATTAATGTGTATTTCAATAAATACAGAAAGAAGTTTAACGTACATGTGTGTATGTACAGACGTTAATATAAACACAAAAAGTCTGGTGGGATACCAACAAAACAAGGGTTCTGTCGGCGGGTTTTACAGGGGTGATTTTCACTTTCTGCCTCATACTTCACTAGTGCTTCAGAGCCTGCCTGGGCTTTTAGAAGAGTGCATGCTAGAAAAAACACATTTCTATAATGAGTAAAAATAATATTTCCACTTTAAAAATAAATTTTTTCATTTTCATATACAAAGGTCTCTTCCAAAATTCTCAGGTTCACAGTGTAATTATGTAATAAATTAGATTATGATAAAAAGTAACTGCGAAGGAAAACTGAGTTTTCCCATCAGATACCAAATAAAGACATGATTGTGGTACAAAAAACCAGCCACTTTAATTAACTCTTTTTTCAGTATGTTATAATGTTCTACTCAACTATTACCATCTTAAACCCAGGATCGTCCAGTCTGTGGGAAAATTAAGAGGGAAAACAATGATGTGTGCTGCTACTGCTTCAGGACCTGGTCTTGGACAGCATTTAGCTTTCTGATAAGGGGGCTAAAGCTTGCTGTGCTCAGTATATACACACAGCCTTAGATTCTCTTTAAGTCTTCAAGTCTGGTGCTCAGTGGTCACCAAACGGGAGAGACTATGTCTCAGGACTAAGTGATTTTATTAAGTACACTTTCCCAATTTTAAGAGATACTCTAGGAGTATTTTATTTTTTTCAACTTTTTTTTTTTTTTTTTTTTTTTTTTTAAATTTTTGGGACAGAGAGAGACAGAGCATGAACGGGGGAGGGGCAGAGGGAGAGGGAGACACAGAATCGGAAACAGGCTCCAGGCTCCGAGCCATCAGCCCAGAGCCTGACGCGGGGCTCGAACTCACGGACCGTGAGATCGTGACCTGGCTGAAGTCGGACGCTTAACCGACTGCGCCACCCAGGCGCCCCTCTAGGAGTATTTTAAATGAATCACCCACAATTCACTCTGAGAACACGGATATTGGTAGTGTTCTACCAATTGGTAGTCCAACTCTAGACTTGGACTTACTGCACCAAATTTTTTTTTCTGACATTTATTAGATACAACTAAGGCAAATTAAACTCTCTGATCTCTTTTTCATCTTTAAAATGGGGATAATAAAAGTACCCAAATCACAGAGTTGTATGAGGATTAAATGAGTTAATGCAAGTAAACTAGTTAACCGGTTAAAACAAAGCCTATGTTATAGTAAGTGCTCAATAAATGTTCTATCACCACCACCACGACCAACATCATCATGTACAAATCAACTGCTTTCTGACACAAAAAACTGAAAAATTGTCTCCAAAATCTAAGAGAAGGAAAATTCAACCCCTTAAAGATACAATAGCAGAAGTCTGTAAATAAATCGATGACACCATTTATTGGGATTAGATGGATCTCTTTTCACTATTTGTACATTATAACATGTGACAAAAGTTTACAAAAAAATAGTAGTTAACTACAAAAAGAGGGTAAAAATTTTATAGTTGTAAAGAATCAAAAGCATCAAGGCTTGGCTCTATAAGTGACAAGAAATCTAGAAAGGGACAATAAAAAAACAGTAACGAACAAGGAAGGGATAAGGGGAAAAAATGATAACTCGTCCTGAGAGTCCCCTTTCCTCATTTAAAAATGCTCCAGAAAACTTTCTATAATACATCATCTTCCACTTCCACATGACAACATCTGATTTCAAAGCCAGAGCAAAATTTTGTTACCTAATCACCTTCAGAACACTGCTACCACGAGATACATCAACAGGTGTGTAAGAACCCCAGGGTTAGCTTACTTATCCAGATATATCTACTTAATATACAGATCTGTGTAGTTCCCATTATAAAAAAACAAAACAAAACAAACAAAAAACTTCTTCACTTGAAAATACACTCTCAACCCTAAAAAAAATTATATATTAGTACTTTATAAAAGTTTCCTTTCATATATCCCATCATCCCTCCCAAGATCAGTTTACATGACCATTAGGAAAAAAACCATCATCACCCTCCAATCAAAACACCCAAACACTCAGAAGTTAACATCTGTCTTTACATCCTTCCAAGAACACATTTCCCAGAATCGAATACCTACTTTGCAACAGTCTCTCCTAGCTTAAAACGAGTGCTTTAAAAGATCTTTCGCCTTGGGGCGCCTGGGTGGCGCAGTCAGTTAGGTGTCTGACTTCGGCCAGGTCACGATCTCGCAGTCCGTGAGTTCGAGCCCCGCGTCAGGCTCTGGGCTGATGGCTCAGAGCCTGGAGCCTGTTTCCGATTCTGTGTCTCCCTCTCTCTCTGCCCCTCCCCCGTTCATGCTCTGTCTCTCTCTATCCCAAAAATAAATAAACGTTGGAAAAAAAAAAAAAATCTTTCGCCTGGCATTTACTTACAAACAATAGAGCACAGGGAAGTAGCTGGAGGGTGGAGAAGGGAACTGCAGAGAAGGGGAGAATACATGACGAAAAGATATTGTCCATGTATTAATAACTGATGGGAGTTGTGTGTCGGCTATATCAGGTTCCTTATACCATTCTCTCTACTTCTGAATGTTTGAAAATTTCTGTCAGGAACATTCTTAAAACATAACTAAAAAAGTACTTCACATACACTGACAGGCTTATAACACCACCCTTCACTACGAATTGACCATCCTCTCAAGGCCTCCTCAGGAACACAGTGCTCTCATCCAGGAACCCTCCCCCACCCCCCAACCCCCATTCATAATTCAAGAGAATAGACCTCTGGTAATTGGCCATTAGAAGAATTTCTCAAACACCATATTATCTTCTTCCCTCCAACTGAAGGCATCTTCTTTCAAAAACTATCACATCATAACATATTCCTCTTGGTACTGGAAATATCCTCCCACTCACCACATAACTTCCTCTGAAATAATGACAATTAACTACTCTACAGGTTAACAAACTTTTAGCTTTCCACCAAAGTAGTCTTTGGAAAGTGTTTAATTCTAGCTAAGAAAGCAAAGAGACACTAACTACTTTTGACCTGGTCACTGAAAAAGTTTCTCACAGAAGAAAGTTTAACTTTTAAAATTAATGCAACTTAGATGATTTGTTAATGAGGGAGAAAAAGCAAAGAGGTTCCAATACATATTAAAAAGTTCAACTGTGAAAAACATCTTTAAAAAGACACTGGAGTCTCTAGGAAACTTTAATTATCAGAATACACTAAATAAGGTACAGCCACAAATTATCTTATTTACTTTATATCCATCTCTTCCCACTCAAAAGTTCTATAAGGGAATGACCTTATCTGTTTTGTTCGCCACTTACATCCCTGTTGCCTTGGACGGTACCTAGCACCTAACAGGTGCTCAATAATAACTTGTCAAAGAAATAAGGAAACAAAATGAACACACAAACTTCTTCCTAAATAAGAAGCTTTCACAAAATGATTTCATTAACTAATTCAACTTAAATGACTTGAATTGTTTAAAAAAAAAAAAAAAACACAAAAAACAAAAACAAAAACAAAAACCCAAAACTAGAATAAAAGGTCAGTAGAACACAATTATAAAAGGCATTCACAGCCTTCTACTTCAAAACTAGCAAACTCCAATATTTAGTAAAACATAAATGACACACAAAATATGCAGTATGGAGGGGTGCCAAAAATCACATAGGTCAGGGACAGTTGAACAGAAACTGAGTCCCATCCTGGGACTATTTTATTAGCAGAAGTAAGTTATTACTGATTTCCAGCAAGCCAGTGGGGGGGGATGGGTCACAGCAAATTTTATTCTCATGTGTACCAAAGTTTTCTGAAAATGGGAGTTCTTCCTCTTTACCACTACCATTTTTTTTCCCACTAGTCAAAAAAGTTCACTACTTGAAATGAAGTCTACTGTGATATAGGACCAAGTACACTGGAGCAGTTAAAATACTCCAACAAAAAACAAGCACAAGTGTAAAAAGTTCTAATACCTTTTAGGTCAAAAATAATGATAAACACCTGCCTTTAAACTAGAATAGCCTCTGTCTGGTCTGGTCACATATGTATTCAATGATTCCCTTGTAAGTTGTACCTCTATATGTTTGTGACAAAACACAACAAACTTCTAATAACTAGAAAAGCTTAACAGTTTATATGCTCCATTTATCAAAGTTTTCTAATATTCTTCATGAGACTCAAAAAAGGAACTTTTTCATTCCATAAATCCAACTAAAAACAGTTCCACTGAGTACACTATCCTTATGGATCCTTAAGTAAAAACACTTATGTATTCTACCTAAAAAATCAGCTTTTTTTATTCTGCCATACACTGTGTTCTGTCCAAAAAAATTTTTAAAGGCTGCAGTGAGCAAAAAGCGGATTCTTCCAACAAGTTGAGTTTAACAAACTTTTTAGCCCAAACTAAACTCATTTTTTGGCTCTAACCGCTATTCCCTGATAGAAACGCATGAGAAACTTTAACTTTCAAAAGTTTAAATGAATCCACTTTCACGAAGACAAATGCTAGCATTCTATTACCTATTTTCTCCTTTCTCTTCAGTTTGAAACATTCAAAGGGCAAGGGGGTATACTACTAACTGCAGGCTGCCTTGAAAGCAGGAAAAGGGACTGAGTGATTGATCTTGTGGAAAAGATTTAAGGTGACACTTGCAGTACTTTTTTTAAGGGATCAAGCAGGGGAAACCTCTTGTTTGTACAAGCTTTTAGTTTCATAACTAGTTTTATGCTGGGGAAAATTATAGCCTGCTTCCTTAGCAATGACTTCTTGGGCAGGAAGGAAACACAAGGCAAAGTGACCCTGACGGAGGGCAAAGTAACTGGAGAAGAAAGGAGTATACCTGGTTCACAGCATCCGTGATGATGGTGGTCAGTCTGACAGTATTTGTCCCTTAAAGGCATTTTCAGTGGGCGAGACCTACTTTCCTTTCACTGTAAGAAGCTCTTCATTGCGGCTTGGCTGTTGAAAGAAGCACAAACCCGTCACTCAGCCTGAACTTCCTGGGGGGGCTCTGGTTCTATTTTCCAGATACGTTCCCTCCACCCGCGCGCTCCGTTTTCCCTCCACAGACCCGCACCTTCCTCTAGAGCTGAAAAAGAAACATGCACGAAGGCTTCTCCAGCCCAAACTCCCGCACAGGTTCACCGCCCTACCCGGAAACGCAGCCCGGGGCGCGCAGCGCAAGGCGAGGGCCTGGCCGGCTGCGCGGGCGGCAGCGGCCTCGCCGGCCCGGGCGGGC